TGTTTTGTTTTTGGCGGTAACCATGGTGGTGGTCGAGTAGATCATGTTGTGGGAGATCGAGAACCCTCACTCCGCGCAAGGGGGATGATCGCACCACGTTGTGTTAAAATGGTCAAGCACCCTCGAGGTAGTTACACAGTGCTTGCAACTGTCCCTGGAAGTGAAAGAGCACCAGAAAATATATTAAGTCATACGCAGCTGTCATCCATGCACAAGGAAGTAAGCACAAGATGCCGAAAACCCTTAGCAGGATGCAGCGCACCCTTCATGCGACTCGCCGAATATCTCACGGCGCTTCGCGCTTGGTGATGTGAGAGCCNCGAGGTCAATGGTCTAACGATTACGGCATGCACGACTATGAGTAAACCCCCTCCCATCGTCGAGAAAAGCGCCACCTTTGTCAGCTATTACTATTACTATCTCGTTGAGGAGGGCGGAGGCAGAGGCGACTGCTCGACTTTGCTTTCCACCACCTTTCCCTTCACATGCTTTTCCGGGCGGGGCGGTGCGGTGCGGTCACAGGGCGAAGGAGCCGTGCAACTGCGGTCGAAGCGGGCGCCCGACGCGCGCCCGGTGCTGCCACAAGACGCCTGATAGCCGCGGCGGGGGCGGCGACGGAGTGGACCCCCGCGCGGTGCTGTTCCGCAGGCTGCACCCCACGCTCATGGAGTGCGAGAAGTGCCCGTTTTGCTGCCAGCTGCCGGCCGTGTCCAAGCTGCAGAAGATCGCGAACCACCCGTGCCTGCTTCAGGTTGGTTGGCGAGGTTGCGGAGAGAGACAGACCGACAGACAGACAGACAGACAGAGCTGGAGAGTGAGACAGAGACAGAGACAGAGACAGAGACAGAGACAGACAGAGACAGACACAGGCACAGACACACACAGACAGATAGACAAACAAACAGAGAGACAGGCCGAGAGAGGATTTTACTGCAGTTGGGACTGTTGTTATTGTTGGCTGTGGTGGTGCATTCTCTCTTTCTTCCTCATCTGGCTGTGCCTCTTGTAGTATTGCCAGTGCCTACACAAACCGTGCTTTCAATCCTGTTGTTGGTTACATTCTCTCTTTCTGCGTCATGTGGCTGTGCCACTTGTTTTGTTGCTGATGCTTCCATAAACCGTTTTCACACTCCTGTTGTTCGTTATATCATCTCGTTTGCGTCAGTGCCACTTGTGTTGTTGCTAGTGCTAACATGAACCGTTTCACACTCCTACGGTTGCAAAATCTCATTCTGCGGCATGTAGGTGTGCCGCTTGTATTATTGCTAGTGCTGACGTAAACGCACGTTTCTTGGTTGTTACATCATCTCGTTCGCGTCATCCGGCTATACGGTACTGCTGGCGTGCAGGAGAACATCCGGGACCCCGAGCAAAAGCGGCAGCAACAGCGAAAGTTCGCCGAGGTGGGTTTACACATGTACATGCAGGCGATAGAGGTGTGGGGGGGATGTACTGATAACCGCGCATGCCGTAGTCGTTAGACCATTGACCTTGCATCCATTCCGACAAGGCCGGGACGAAGCACGCCGGGTTTTCACCAGACCAGCTGGGGGGGGG